TATTTTTAGGTATAGATAGAAAAATAAAAGTTAACATTAGTTTTAGTATCATTGTCAAATAGATAAATTTAATTAAATAGTTGATAAATTAAAAATTAATTTTTATTTTTTTAACACAAATTTATAATAAAAAATATATTTATTAAGGCATAAATTAAAAAACCTTAAAAGACTAGATTATTAAAAAGGTTAGATGCGACCCGCCTTTTACCATGGAAAGTTTAGTTGACTAAAAAAAATTAATTTGAATAATTGAAAGTTTATATCTGTGAAATTACTTTGTTGGCCATATGGCGCCTATGTGGCAGCTTATTATTAGGTGCCACGTAGCTGCCAATTTCTATTACTGTTAGTCCATAGATGGAGACCTTTTAACACACACGACAAAAATGATATAATTTTAAGAGTTAATAGACTGATTAGATAAAAAAAATAGTTAATAAACAAAATAAATAAAAAGGAATAGTTAATAGACTATTAAAGGATGATTGAGAGGTATGCGCTAAAGCTGAACAACAGCATCAGCACAAAAAATGCCAATAAATACTATGTATAGTAAATTATTTCTAGGATATAACTGACCTTATCGCTGAAAAATGGTTGAACAGGGATATCATGCCTTTCTTGACTTCCTCCACCATCAGAAGTATTTACATTGTCTTTTTCTTTTGAAGACCCAGAGACAAAGGTAACCATTGCTGTACAGTTAGCCACCGTGATTTCTTTCAAAGATGGAAGGCTAAGCGTACTGCTTCCCTCATAGAAACATGTCAGTTTAGAACAAGACTCCAAATTGATGGAATTTAGCTGAGGTAACACCTCATCAGCTCCATCTCCCGTGATCACATGCTCCATTGTGGCACAATTTGAGACTTTTAAATCTTGGAGTTTCGCGAGGCCCAATGCCATAAAAGGGGTTAAAAGGTATCTCCAACTGCTATAACCAGAAACTTCTAAAGATTTAAGATTTCTAAAAGGTAGGATTTCTTTAGGATTCCTGTTCCAAATTTCAATAATTGCCTGATCAACAAACTCAAACTCAGAGATTTTCAAATTTTCCAACCAATAGTATCCAACCTGCAGGATTCAACAAATAACTAGTTAATGGCGCAAGAACCAAATAACAATTACAACAACGTTAATAAC